TGGGTTTATGAACATATAACCCCATCGTAAGTCAAGGACATAACTTTATGAGAAATTTGGGAGGCCTTTGGCTACGTTGTGAAGGCCATCAGATATTCAGTGTAGATCAAATGATTCCTGGCTTAATGAGACAATGCATTTTTTTGTTGGGGGGACTGGGGATTGAATTCAGGGGCACTCGACCACTGAGCCACCTCCCCAGCCCTATTTTGTATTTTATTTAGAGACAGGGTCTCACTGAGTTGCTTAGCACCTTGTTTTTGCTGAAGCTGGCTTTTGAACTGACAATCCTCCTGCCTCAGCCTCCGAGCCACTGAGATTACAGGCATGTACCACTGCATACATTGTCTTGCTGGCAAGACAATGCATTTTATTTATGATTACTTTTTTTTAATACTTCTGCAATGTGGAGTTCTTATAGTATGGAATATTTTAGAATGCCTTTGTGTCCTTGGGTATCCTTTGTTGAAGTGTAGGTTCTATCAGAGAGTAGAATACATCAAGCTTATGTACCCAGCCATAGTCACTTGAACAATTTTTGGATGAAATGATAAATAAATGCCCTCGTGTGGAGGGCTGCAAATCTGGGAAGTGCTTAGATAAAAGTAATGAAGGTAGATAAAGAGAAAAGCTATAGAGCCTGAGGGATTGCCATTTTCAGAGAAATTAAAAAGGTAGTAGAAAGATTTAGTAGCAGTGCTCTAGGAAATCTGGTTTGTTGTATGAAAGCTAATGATTATGCAGCTCTTCATAATTTCCACTGATGTCTATGAAAGGAAATTAAACTGAGGAACCTGAGATTATCATCAAATGTAAGGAGGAAAACCTGTGATAGAATGGAACATGGCAACAGAAGAAATAGCATACTTGTCTTTCAAATTTTTTATGACCAGTTATCCCAAATTCTTGGGTGACACATGATTCCTGATACCAAATACTAATTTCGTTTTACAAAAACATTATTTAGGTTTAAAATGATTTCATCACTGTCCCATTTGATTTTAAACATGGACAATTTATATAGATGTGATCTAACTTCTAGTGGCAAAGTGATCATTTCCACTCTGTACTTGAATTGCCTTCTTGTCAGATTCACATTTTGTTCCTTCTTCATAGGATGGATTTACAGCATGTGGAGACACAATTCTTAGTAAAAATGACTCTTACTTTTTAAATATCATTTTATTATCTTAAAGAGGTCAGATAAATACAGATGCAGCAGAAAATATTCTATAACTCTTGAAAGATGTGATGACTGAATCAACAAGTTGTTAGTTGCTGTCAGTTTCTACCTAAAAAAAAATAATGAGTCAGAGGTAATATTTTTTATTTATTTATTTTTTGTTGAAAAGGAACATTTAAATATTGGAGCACATAAGAGAAAAAATGATATATTTGAAGAACTCTTTACTAGTAGGATAACTTGTTAAATTAAAAATTATTTGTGTTTTCTTTTTAGTAATAATTTTTGAATTACCTCCTTAGTGCCAGGCACTATGTTTTTTGTAACTGAACATCTTTTTTTTTCTTTTTTTTGGTGGTACTGGGGATTGAACCCAGGGCCTTGTGCATGTGAGGCAAGCACTCTACCAACTGAGCTATATCCCCAGCCCAGGCACTATGTTTTTTAAGTTTAGCTTCATTATTTCAAAACAATCCTGGAAATTTGCAAGAGAATTAGTGGAGTAGATAATGTAAAATTATTTATAGTCTAAAATTGCTTTTTCTTTCATAGTGTCTTTCCTGCAGTCTCCCCAAACTCTCCCAACTGAACATCTCCCATTGTAAGCATCAAAATTGTTTTCCACCATGTAATGAACAGAGAAGATTTTTTTTTTTAAATAAGAACATGTATTGGGTACAGCCTATTTCTTAAATTTATGATTCCTAGAAGAGGTAGAGTTCCAATTTTCCGTTTCATTGTAAAGTATTATGGGGTTGCGGGGGAGCCTGGGAGACCTGGTCACCCTCCTGACATCAGTGTGCAAGTCTGTAATGCACAGCTGCTTTGTGCAGAGGTTGGAAAGAGGTTGGCTGTCTTGTTTAATACCTCACAGGAAGTACATATTTTTGTGTCTGTTTTATCTGAATGACATGTTGTACGTAAAAGGTGTAGAGAGATTGTGAATGTTGGGATTCTGAGCATGTCTGAACGTAGTCCATAAAGTGGAAGTGTTAGAAATTTCCTCCTGATTGTTGGCAGTCTGCTTGGTCCACATGAGGAAGTGAGTGAGGATCCCAGTCTAAGGAACAAGAACCAAGGCAACATATTCTTGTAGTGTTCATAATGACACAAAAATCATGTCTTCTCTTCTCTTAGCCTGTCTTTAAAGGATCTTGTCAACCTATCTAGGGTCATCAATGCCTTAGCCAAGAAATGTTGTTGATGAACATAGAAGGGACATTTTTACAAGGACCGAATGAATACAACCATATAAACAGCATGTGTGTTAGTCAGCTTTTCGTTGCTGTGACATACTACCCGAGCAAATCAACTTAAAGGAACAAAGGATTGATTTTGACTCAAAATTTCAGAGGTTTCAGTCCATGGTTGACTGGCTCCATTTCTTCTGTACCTGATGAGGCGATACATTATGGAGGAAAGTGTGATGAAGCAAAACTGTTCACTTAGTAGTTGGCCAGGAAGCAAAGAAACAGAGACAGAGAGGTAGAGGCCTGGGACAAGATGTGTCCTTCAACAACATGCCCTCAGGGACCTGCCCTCCAACCAGGCTCCACCTTCTTCTGTTTTCACTGCCTCCCTATAACACCACCAACTGGGGATCGAGCCTTCTACACATGAGTCTTTGGGGAATGTTCCAGATCCAAATCATAATGGCATGGTCAATTTCAATTTTACTTTTATTTATGCAATTCTCAGGACCAGTGGACACTTGGTACATTGAATATTTAAATATATGAATTGTTTAGGAACCTTTCTGGGAGCTGCCTGGGAATAAACCTTTTCTTGAATGCTTTTGTGTCAAGAGGTGGCATATTGGAATAGAAATTCCGGCTTTGAAACTTTCCATTTGTTAAAAAAAAAAAAAAAACCCTCAGTGTTGAGTTGTAATATTGTTCCTTTCATTTCCATTCACCCAGAGTGGTTTTGCCCTCTGGAGATAAAAACAGTCAAGTCTCGTCTCATTTTAAGGCCAGCTTTCATGTATTTGTTTTTAAAGCCTGGAATGTGTTATATCCATGTCATGTTTTTCTTACTGAATATCTGCAGTAACCTCATTCAATATTTAATGTTTTCCTAGCCCTCTTTGGGAAAGACTCTGGTTGAAATTTTGAAATGAGGATTAGACATAACATGCTGGGAAGTAGTCTGAGTTGGGATTCCATTACTGAATTGTTACCAAGGGCAATTATTTTAGAGACAATCACTCTTTTGACTTACAGGGAACTACAATTCACCCAGGCATGTATAATTCCATTTGTCCTAGGATTATTAATTATTTTATTAACTTTAATAGTAATATCTATATCTTCTTTGGTGAATAAATATTTATTAAATTTCATACAGAGAAATTGCTGTTGGGGTCAGACTATCCAATGATATATATGTATTTTATATATATATATATTTTTTTTGACAAGATAAAATTGCCGGGCTGGGGATATGGCTCAGGTGGTAGCGCGCTTGCCTGGCATGTGTGCGGCCCGGGTTCGATCCTCAGCACCACATACCAACAAAGATGTTGTGTCCGCCGAGAACTAAAAAATAAATATTAAAAATTCTCTCTCTCTCTCCCCTCTCTCACTCTCTCTTTAAAAAAAAAAAAAAAAAGATAAAATTGCCTAAAATTCTCCTCAAATACACCTGCATAGTAACTCAACAAATATTATTGTCTATTGATTGCCAAATATTGTGCAATAAGCTAGTAATCGAAAATTATTTAAGATGCGCCTTATAGTTTAGTGGGAGATACAAATTTTATGCAGATGATTTCAATACCTTTTGCTTAAAACAGTGCTGAGAACCATCTGTGAACTTATTTTAACCTTTTGAAAAGATCCTTTTCTTTCCTTTTTTTTCCTCCACCCCTTGAAACCTACAAGATAACAAATCTAATAATTTGTAACATTTTATTATGGCTCTAGAAACATCCCCTTCACATTTCCAGAGGCATATTCTGTTCTCTCTGAAGTTATGGAACAAGTTGGTCTGTGTTCTTACAGTGGCTGACATCATAGAGTAATTCATGATTTAAAAAATGTACAGCATCTTTCAAAGCATTTTGTCAACTGGTTCCCCTAGCAATTTATATTCACATTATTTGGTAGGATGACAGGGGTGGCCTTGAGGTTCTCCTATACAATAGATTTACAGTCTCTGGAAAGGAACTATTTCATACCTCCCTTGCTCTGTGGATTTCTACTGTTTTCACTCTTCATTAAGCAAGAATTGCCTCATTGGCAGGATGCAGTTCTGATGTGTTTGGTGAGTTCAGATGGTATTGAAAAAAATAAAAACCTGAGCTCCCCCCAATTTTCTGAAGAAAGTTCTTGGCTGACCCTGGCCCTGCTGCCCATGGGGGGCGAGTGTTCCAGTTCAAGCTGACTTCAGCCCCCACACTTGAGTCACAAGATCTCAAGTGTGAACCCCCATCCAGGTTTAATTCAGTTTATCAGCCATTATGGCCTTTGACTTGGTGGCCTGAGGCAGCTCCTAAGTCACAGATACAATGTCTTAGTTTATCTTATTGTTATGTCTCAAGTGTTCTTTATGTTTTATGAATAACAATTGTAGAACGAAGTTATATTTTAGTGAGAGTAGAAAACAACCAGGCAGAAGCAATTCTTATGCTGTCAAAATGACTTATTAAGTAGATAGAAAAAACAGCAAAAATTATTTATTGAAATGTATCTATAGTTTAAGGTCTTCGTGGAACTGTTATTTTTTTTCTTAATTTTTTTCTCCCCTTAGGTAAAAGATAATTTGACACTCAATAGTTAGCCATTTTATGACTGAATCTGATTACTATGTTTTGTAGGTCACTGAAATGATTCTGGAAATGTCTCTTGAAGTTTGGTAAGTTAATTAATTTAATTAGATGGAAAATATTGTGAGTGATCCACTGAACTTTTGTGTTGTTAAAAGTATACTTTTTATTTATGAAATAATTGTGACAGTTTTGAATACATACAAGTGTATTAATTTACTGTTCCTTAGCTATCTCTTATTAGCTAAAAATATTAAAAACATAATTCTAACATACCTTGCTTAATTTCCCAGTAAGTTGGTGGTTAGATAATAACTGTCGAAATAAATACTTTTTGTAAGGGCCCTCTCTAGTAATGTATCTGTTTCCTTAGAAATGGAGTTTTTAAAGTCTAATTTCCATTATTGATTCTGATAGTTATTCAGAAACATAAAAATGAACATAAATAGGAATCTATAAATTTTTTTAAAGTAGAAAAGGTGAAAATCGAAATTGACTTTATTCCTAGTGCTCAGCAGGACCATGAATGGTGAATTTCCATTGCATTGCTCTTTCAAAGTGGCCTCCAAATATGAATCTTGGGAAATAAATTTCTTTATTTATGAAAGGTGATGCTGAGGGGAGCCATGTCTGCACTGATCCAACTGATCTCCGATCTAAGGCTGAGCTCAGTGGAACCCACCTCCCTCAAGTTCTCTGCATATCTGAACTTTCCCTGTGGAAGCTGATTTTAGTTGGGTTACATGTTTTACAATGACAATACACAAATTAGCACAACATTCTTTTGTCTTGTAATTTGCCCAATGAATGATGATGGATTTATTGGGTTGAGGCATCTCAGTCTCTTATGTTGATCCCTGGAACATGTGGATTTGATTTAGTAAATGAAAAATTTCCATAGCTTCTCAACAGATGTGAACAAAAATCAAAAGATAGTACAAGTTATTATGTATCATTATTTTGTATTAAGTTGATTCTAGCCTAAAAGTGGTATATATCTGGCAGGAGATCAGAAATATTTTTGTGATTTGACTATGAAGCAATACTACTTGTTCCAGTGAGGTGATTAGGATCACCTTGTGTAAAAGAAATGGTCTTTAACAAGAACACAGTTGTTAAATAGATGTAGAAAAACCCAACTAAATAACGTACATTCAACTAGAACTAACTTGATATCTCTTTATAAGGAAATTTAATCATACCCTTTTTGTATGTTAATTTATATCTTGACTCTAGGATAGAAATGCTTTTTATCAAAGAAAGATTTAATTCTGAGAAAAAAATTTCCACATAATGCCTTCCATAAAACCAAGAAAGACAATTGATTGGAAAGTCAAACATGATACATGAAAGAAGAAATAAATGAACCACAATTCTAGTACATATTTGTAAGATTACTACTCAGCATTTAAAAAATTCTCCTCCAGATATTTTTTACTGATAGCTCTGGAACACCTATGCTCATTGCACTGTTCATAAATTTTTGAAAATCTTGATTCTTTTATCATGCTTAATATGTTATAGAGAATATGGGTTCCAGAATTTGAAGTCCTGTATTTAAATCTACTTACTTACTGATTATGTTAATGGTTGAAAGTTTTCTAATGATTTTTTTGCTCAGTGGTAAAATAAGAAAAGAATACTTTACAACTATTTTGAGTGTCATGATTAAATAAATTGCTCTTTCTGAAAACCACATGCTATAGGAAACCTTCAAACATGTATACAATATGTTTATAGTGGTGCTGTTTATAAAAATTAAAAAAAAAATTGGAAATAACTATAATGGTATATTCATATAATGAAAATATTCCACAATAGTAAAAATTACTTTAAATTTTTAAATTACTTCTGTTTACTTAAATACAGATGATTCTCAAAGACAAAATGTTCAATGGAAAAAAATCATTTCATTGATAAAATTTATGATAAAATTAAAAGTCTTCAAAAGATCCTCTATATTTAGGAATATATATTCCTAAATATAGAGGATATTTCATTGTCTCATTCATATATATATATATATATATATATATATATATTCAAAGCATAAAGATGTACAGTGGAATGATAAAGACCAAATTTAGGTAGTAATTTGCTTTAAGAAGCAGAGAAGACAATAAAATTGAGGAAAATTCACAGGGACAACTATACAAGTGAGATTTTCATTACTTAACGTGAGTTGAAGATACCTAATCTATCACAATTAATAAAAATAGAGAAAATCCAACCCCAGACTAGACTTGCAATATGTGAATTCACTATCTTGCTCTTTTTGTACCCTTATGTGATTTTCATAATAATCACGTTTAATAACTATATAATCCAGTGCTTTGATGTACTATAACTTAATGGCCATTTCTTTAATGTTGATTAAGGTGAATAAATGACCTTGTCAAAATTTACAACTACTTCCTTTAAAGTAGAATCTAGAAATAGCATTACTAAGATCAATGTTGATGGACAATGTAGTTATTTCTCCTGTTCGTTGTCTTTCAAAATGTTTTGCCAACTTATATTCCCAAAACAAATATAAGAGAAAAAATCATATTGCTTTATCTTTTCAAGAATTGGAAAATAAGTATGAATTACTAGTTAACTTAATAACAGAATTGTTGGAGTATCCTAGCTCAGATAAAGATTTATTCTTACATATTTGCATTATTAATTATACTTCCTGTTTGGTGAGTGAAGTGATTTGCCCTTCAGGAATCAGTAATTAGTGTACTTTGTGTAGTGATTGTATATTAGTATAGAGAACACAGCCCAGGGGTTCTGAGGTTTCTTCTTTCATTCTATATTTTACTAGGAAAGTGTTTTCTACTGTAGCACTTTTATTGTCCTAATGTATGACTTAGTAGGGGCCTGTTTGCTTGTTGGTTTCTTCTAAACATCTCATGTTCTCCTCTTTCCCCCTCTTTTTTTCCTGAAGCATGCTTTGGAACATGCTGCTTTAAGGTATCCATCATTTTGTACTCTTGATTTAGGTCCCTGAGGGAAGCAGGGGGCCACATCCGTGTTGCTGCCCAGGTCTTGAGGGGCTGGATGGAGATGGGGTGAGGCTGTGGGACACTGGCTTTGACTCCTGTTTTATATCACAGCTCCAGCCCAGACCTGCGGTTCAGCATGGCTCTGTGTGATCAGGAGAAAACTTTCAGGCAGCTGAGAAAAGAGAACATCAAGGAGAAGATGAAGAAACTCTTGGGCCCCCAGAGGAGTGAAGGGTTGAATTCTACCCGGGATGTGAGTTGTAAAATTTTTCAAATGTTATTATGACTTCATAATAAAATATTGGACGCTGTCTCCAAAAATTTCATCCAAATATGGCAATATTACGATCGAGCATTTAGCTTTCAACTTCTTCAGGTAAGGCAAGTGATTCAAAAATGAAAACTATTGGAGGAAGGTCATCTGGAACATTGTTCATATTTGGTTATATTGATTTTTACCTTAATTTTAAAAGCAGTATTAGTTTTACAGAAAAACTGAGCAAAAAGTACAGGAGAGTTCTTATATACTTCCTGTCCCCACACATAGACCATCTCTCAGTTTTAGTCAGCGTTCTTGAGAAGTAGAGACATATCTATATCTATATCTACATCTACATCTATGATTTATGAGAGGAATTGGCTCATGTGGTTATGGAAGGTAAGAAGTCGAATGATCTGCTCTTAGCAAGTTGTAAAGCCAGGAAAGACAAGTGCAATTGGGTCTGAGGCCAAAGGCTCAGAACCTGAGGATCTAATGGTATAGCTGCCAGGCTATGACTATAGGCCTAAGTACTGGAAATGACCGAGGAGAGGAATGCGGGTGTATGTTTTAGGTCCCAAGGCCTGAAAAGTAGGAGTAAAGATGTCCAAGGGCAGGAGAAGACAGATGTCCCAGCTCCAGGAGAGAAAGAGAGAGAGAGAGAATTCACTTTTCTTCCACTATTTTGTTCTTCTCAGGTTTGGATGATGCCCACCCACACTGGTAAGGGCAGATCTCCTTATTCAGTTAACTTACTTAAATCTTACTAAGATTTTCAAAAAACACCCTCAGAGATACACCCAGAAATAATGTTTTACTATCTAGTTATCCCTTACCCCACTCAAGTTGACACATAGGTTAACCATCATACTCTATGACTATTAACACCCTACACCAGAGTGGTACATTTATTACAATCAATGAACCTACACTGACACATTATCACCCAGAGTCGGTTGTTTCCTTTAGGGTTTGCAATTGCTGTTGTACATTCTATGGGTTTTGACAAACATATAATGGCATGTATTTACCATTAGAGTTATCAGACTTTCAATGTCCTAAAATTCTTCTCTGTTCTACCAGCACATCCCTGCCTCTCATCTTAATCCCTGGCAACCACTAATCTTTTTATCTTTTATAGTTTTGCCTTTAATGAAATATCACATAGTTGCAATTACATAGTATGCAGCCTTTTCAGATGAGTTTCTTTAGCTTAATAGCATTAATTTTAGGTTCCTTCATGTCTTTTCATGGCTTGATAGCTCTTTTTTTTTTTTTAGCACAAAATAACATTTCATTGTATTTTTAGCATGAAATCCATTTCACAGTTAATATATTAACATAATTTTTTAAAGAGGCATAATTTATGCAGAGATATTTATTTCATGAATATGAAAAATTTAGTTCAGATATAAAAGGATTATTGAATTAGTTTTAATAAAGACTAAAACTAAGCTGTGGACTCATCATTACTCAATAAGAAGAAAAATATTATGAATTTTTTTAATGATATTACAATTAACAATGTAGTTAAATGTGATAGGGGAGGAAGAAAGGAAATGTTCCAGATTTTCCATATTTCAAAGCAGGGAGTTGAACGATACCATCCAAAATTGATCAAGTAGTTAAAAGTAATAACTTCCACATTTTAATATTTTTCATAAGTCCAATTATAGAGAGATGCTAGAATAAAATATTTTGTGAATCAATATTCAAAGTATAAGCCTTCCATGATACTTTGATATTTTTCTTCCTTTAAATTCCAATAAAGTATAATGTGTTCAATAGCATATTTATAATCTAGTTTTTGACTCTCCATTTTTCTCTTTACCTATCTAGATCTATCTAAAATCCTATGTACTTTTCTCTCTTTTTCTCTATTGGTCTTTCTACCTGAAATTTACACAGATAAATCACTGTAACGAGACTCATCAAATGATAGTGGTGAAGTTTCTTGTTGGTGGCATATTAGGTAATTTTTTACTTTTTTCCTTGAGATTTTCTGTTAACAGTATTTGAACTGAACGTAATTTATTTTCATAAAATAATATTTTATTAAATACACAAGTAAACATACATGCACACACTCCCATATGTACACACACCAAACAGGGTTTTCAGCAGGGATTATTACAAATTAAAAGCAAAATACAACTGGAAATGAGACGTACATTCTGATTAAGGGATCCAGGTGAGTACTCATGTTCCACAGGTGACTGCAGATTTCCAGGTGTGATTTAGGTGGCCATAGGAGTGGAACACCAATCTGCTAATGCTAAAGTGGCTTCTGGGGACTTTCTTTTGGAAAAGAAGAGAAGTGAACCCTCTATTTAAGAGAGAGAGAGAGAGAGAGAGAGAGAGAGAGAGAGAGAGAGAGAGAGAGAGAGAGAGAGAAATGAATTCTAATTCTCCATCTTATTTCCCACCTTAGCAGATCCCTGGTAAAACTCATGGTTAGTTACAGTGTGAGGTTAATTATTACTTGAAAAAACTTTCTTCTCTACACATTACTAAGAAATTCATAGTTTCTTGGGAAGATTTTGTGTGTATGTGTGTGTGTGTGTGTATTTTTTAAAACATAGATAATAACCTTTCTGTAACAATTCTTCTTTTTATCTCCACGTGATTTTTCAGGCTCTTTTCGTTTTCATTCCTTGTCATTCACTGTGATGCTGTGCTAGGTGGTGGAGAAGAGTGAAACTGAGGTGCTTAACATTGAACAGTCACTTTCCCTAGTCAGATTAAAGCCTAGTTTAGGAGAAAGACATCTAAGCAAAAAATAGATAGATAGATAGATAGATAGATAGATAGATAGATAGATAGATAGATAGATAGATAGAGATGTGTTGAGTTAATAGAGATGTGAGTGGAGGTAGGAACAATGGAAAGCCTGTGTGCCAATCCTTGAGGAATCAATAAGCTTGTTAGAATGAAAAATAAGGAGACTGATCCCTTGTTAATTTATGGTCATCAATGTCACTTGTGATCTCAGCTTCCTTCCCTGGTTGCTTTCCAGTTCTTGCAGCTGTCTAGCTGTATTTCTTCCTTTCTTTCTCACCTCCCTCCCTCCTTCCTTCCTTCCCTCCTTCCCTCCCTCCCTCCCTCCCTCCCTCCCTCCCTCCTTTCTTTCTTTCTTTCTTTCTTTCTTTCTTTCTTTCTTTCTTTCTTTCTTTCTTTCTTTCTTTCTTTCTTTTTCTTCTTTCTTTCCCTCCCAATTGCTGACCTATCCCCTTGCCTCCTTCTCAGAGAGAATCCAGAGTGATGGGGTGAGTAACCCCCCTTTCCTGCTGTAGTATTGGCGTGCTGCAGAGCCATACCTACCTTTTGCAACTTGCCTCTGAGTTCCGTGCAGAGTTTCCTTTGCTTTGCTTCCAAATGCAGCTCCACATCAGGAATGGATCACAGAGCATTCCTGTTAGGAACCCCAGTATCTCCATTATTCAGTCCTTCCCCAGCCACTCCACCCCTGTATTGTCAGCATCTCCTTGGGTGTGGATATTTCTCACATAAATATAAACATGCTCTAAACTTCAATTTAAGAAGAAAGGGGATCAGAAATATCTCCCTGGATTCTACATTCTCTCCTTTCTCTCGCTCTCCTTGGCCTTCAGATGCAAACTTCTCCAATTTTGTCTCCACACGAGTCCATTTTACTTCCTGTGTCCTTCTGGTTCCTGCCCTCAGTGTTTTATTGCAGCTGTTTCCCTAATGCTGAGGCATGTGTCTCGCCCTCTCTTAACTACCCTTGAAGCTGCCAGGGGCAAATGTCTTCCTACTTTTTGAAACATTCTCTTTCCTTCACTTACTAATTTCTGGTTTTCTTTCTTTCTTTCTTTCTTTCTTTCTTTTTTAAAGAGAGAGTGAGAAAGGAGAGAGAGAGAGAGAGAATTTTTAATATTTATTTTTTGGTTCTTGGCGGACACAACATCTTTGTTGGTATGTGGTGCTGAGGATCGAACCTGGGCTGCACGCATGCCAGGCGAGCGCGCTACCACTTGAGCCACATCCCCAGCCCTAATTTCTGGTTTTCATCATGCCTCTTTGATATTTTGCCAAGTTTTCTTATGGAGCACTTTAACTATGGAAGTTGACCTCAAGGTTCTGTTCTAGGCCCTCTTCTCCTCATTCTGTATCCTTCATTGGAGAAATTTTTTGCCCTCCCAGAATGTCTCCCAGCTCCTTGCACTAGGGATGTTCACACCGGCATCCACGGCTCAGTGCCTCCTCAGGCTTCGGTCCTGGTCATCTGCAGAGCTCCTTCATGTCCTCAATTGCATACCTCCCAACCCTCCAACTCAGCCTGTCTACCTACATCCCAACCAAAAAAATCTTTCTTCTCTGGGTTTTTATTTGTTCCTATTCTCCTTCTTTCCACATTCTGTTTACTCTAATTCAGAGTGACCTTTTTGAAGGTCACAAATTTGGTTATACCAATCTTGAGATTAAAATTCTTCCATTGCTCTTGGGATCTCAGTCACACTAAATATCTCCAACACCATTTTTTTCTTTTTTTGAGGGGTGGGTGGGTGGGTACCAGAGATTGAACTCAGGAGCACTCGACCACTGAGCCACATCCCCAGCCCTATTTTGTATTTAGAGATAGGGTCTCACTGAGTTGCTTAGTGTCTCGCTTTTGCTGAGGCTGGCTTTGAACTCATGACCCTCTTGCCTCAGCCTCCTGAACCACTGGAATTACAGGAGTATACTACCACATCCAGCTCCTATTCCATTTTTGCTAGTTTATTCCACATGCATACATCTTCTCCCAATAAATGCCTCTTAGTTTCATATCTCTGTTTAATCCTTTTCTAACTAAAGTTCTTTTGGTTCTTTTCTCTTCAATACGTTGCTCATGTTCCACACTTTGCTGGCTAACACACTCCCATTATTAATCCACACAGAGATCACTTCTCCTCAGACTCTCTCCTTCAGCAATCCCTCTTGCCTCTCCCCAAATTTAGGTTAGGACTCTCATTTATATCCTTTATGGCACT